TTGTCCAAGTGTTTTGTATTTGCCTCTGTGCAGTTCCTTTTTTTTTTTTTTTTAACTAATTAGAGGCTTATTGTAAACCAAAGGGGATTTCTGGGAGCTCTTTGGGTTTGTAAATTATGCAAATGACAGCATTGTGATGTTGGATCATATTATTATTTGTATATTTTGTGGTTCACGTATTCTGAAGAGTATGTGTCAAACAAGTTTTTCTTTTCTTTTTTTTTCTTCAGTCCTTGATCACAGTAAGTTATAACTTACTGTGTCCTCGGGCAGGTTACAAAATTGTATTTCTTCATTTTCTTAATGTTATAGAAGAGCATATTTTTAATGCTATGGAGTCTTCCGTGCTGATAGCTTTACAACATCGTGCATGTACTATGAATAGAACAAACTTCACAGATGATTATACTTAAAGCTGGAGGTCTTTCTGTAAATTTTAAACAAAGTGTTCTATTAAATGCCATCTATAAAATGCTTGATGACTGACCTCCTAGGCTGATCTGTGATTTTGCCTGTGCATTTGAAATCCTGGAAGAAAAATTCCTCTGCTACAGGAAACTGATTGGTAACTGAATGAATTGCACTATAATCTAAGAATGGAACACTTCTACATAGCAAGTATTATTTTGCAATGCATTCCTCTGCCTGCAGCATAAAACAGAAGTACTCTATATAATGCTTAATGATCCCCAAATATGTGTAAAGAGAACAGATGTTGGGTAAAACCCCAATGGTTATCCTAAAATTTCGCTGTGGCTGAGGAGCACAGCTATCTTTGTGGTTCAGGACAGCTATCTTTCTATCCTGATATGGAGTTAAATAAAGTAATAACACTGCACAAATTTATGTTCAAAAATTATAGTGTTGCTGCATCTGCAATGATTGCTTTCCATCAATTAGCAAGCACTGTGAAGTTACTCAGAATAAAAGGAATTTATATAGTTACGCAACATTCAGAAATATCATATTCAATTTATGTCTCTGCTGCCAAATTCTGCAGCTAATTCTACCAATTTTCACACTCTCTCCGTTACAAATGGAATTCCCTTTACATTAGGATTAGGATGTTTGCAGGATAAGAATACAACTTTCATACAACATCCAACTCAATAAAATGAAATTTAAAAAGCCTTAAATGAAAGATGTCATACATGTTTTGTCAATTGGACATTTGGAAAATATGAACATATGCATACTTATGTGCAAAGGCTCATATGTACACCTCATGCAGTCCATACCATTGTAAATCCAACTTAGATACAGGTAGTATATCAGGTACGCCTAACCATGGTGTCTGCGTAACGTTTCTGTCCTGGGAGGAGTCCAGAAGACGTGTTTTCCTTTTGCTGGGGAATTTTTAATCGCTAACGCATTCTGTAGCCATCCACCGATCTTACATATTTTTGAGTAGTGGTCTTTGCATATAAAACCCGACTGCACCCTCAATTATCACAGTGACCGGCTGGGTAGTTAGAAATGCTTTCACCGTTGCAGTGTTATGATCCGTTGTAATCTGAGATTGGCGCGAGCTGGATTCCCAGATTTCATTACTTCCCTTATGGTATTTGCTCTAACATTGTTTAGGTTAGTACAAATGTAATGAGCTCTGAATTCACTCATCATGTATGTATATGCCACATTGTTTAAGAAATTCATGCAACTGCTTCCTATCTCATGCTGCTAGGGGTGCCTGCACCGTGCTCTCTGCTCTCCTGCCTCTGAGACTCCAGGTGCTCCGCTGGTTATGTCTTCCTCTGTCAGATACCTATCCCTAATGGGAGCACAATTCCAGAGTAATTTTCTTTTTCTTCTTTTTTTTGTTTTTTTTTTTTTTTTATTTTAAAGAACAGGATAATTTCTTATGTGAGCTCTTATGGTGCTTCCAGGTTGAGCATCTGGGCAAGAAAGAAAGTCTATCTATGTGTACGTTCTATATTTCAAATTTTCAGTTTTAGACAGGGGGTAAAACTGGAATCTCTGGTGCATTGTGTTCAAATCCCTGGTTTTGATTTTGGGTCAATACTTTACATTGACCTCAACTGTTATTTAGATCTGAGTGCAGCTAAAAATGGTGTGAACATGGTATTTCTTTTTAGTTTCAATATTATGCAAACAGCTCAGAATAATTTTTTGTTGTAAAACTTGCAGCTTAGGTGACTTTGAAACTGGACCCTAACCTAAGTGACATCCAGGTAGCTGTGCCTATCTGTTTTTATATATTAACAAATAAAATATCTTGACATGCTGAAATTTTATGTGTTATGTTTTCTTTAGAAGTAAATTGATTCATATTGAAAACATGACATAGGACCTATCAGTTATTACAGATCGCTTTCATTTCTTTGGCAAAGGTGGTTTTAATTTTTAGAGGTGGCTGTATCTCCCATGTATGAGACATCCATGTTAAAAATGATTGTTTATGGGACACAGGTTTATTACAAAAGGACGTTGTGTTTATATTAATTAAAAATATTTTGATCTCCATGTTCTAGTCAAGGACGTTTGGTGCCTCACAGTAGGGTAGGTTAATGTAAAATAAATCCTTTGTGTTTAGGTTACATGTTTGGTTGTGACTCTGTCTGAAAATAACAGGAGCTGTTTTCATAACTTATGATTACCAGTTTATATGTTTACTTACTCAGTTTCTGTCTGGAAAAATGTTTACAACATAAAAACATCCTCAAACTTGAGGGCATTTTTGGCTTTTTAAGTGGGAAAAAGACTCCAGACACTCTAGTGGGATAATATAGGAAGTTTCTATTGCTGGACGTACTGATAGGCTGAGGACTTAAATCCTCTGAGCAATCAATCCACTGGCTTTTATGAATGCTTAGGGAAAAAAAAGAAATTTATTGCTGGAAAAGAGAAATAAAACTTGTTGCAGGATACATGATGGCCACATTCAAAAAAGACATATGTATGGTAAAGTCTCATGTATCATTACAACTGTCTGAGCGGGACAAGTGAAAGCAAAACAAAAACAGGAAATAATACAAAACCAGAAAAAACACATGGATTTTGAGGGAAAACCTCAGTGAGGAAAGAAAGCTTATTCTGATTCTGTCTGCTTTGCTGGTGGGAACAGGACTTTTGCTAAATAGTTTCATAATTAATTTTGATGTTAATTCAGCAGGTCTAGTATGAGATAAATCCTTCCATGGTAGAAGCATTGTCTGTTACGTGTGCTGATTTACGAGAGAGATTCAGCTGTATTTTAATGGTAACTGGACTAGACAGTAAATATATGAGAAATATATGAGTAAATATATGAGAAAAGCTCGTTTATGCTTAATATACTAGATAAATTGTTCCTGGCTTGTTAGGGTGTGACTATACTTGCTGTCACACTCCCAAGTTTACTCAAGAACTGTGTGATTTGCTGAGTAGGTGCTAGTCATGTAAGGGAAAACCCAACGGGATGCATTTTATATACCTATTTTTTTCCTCAACATCATGTATTAACTTTTTTTTTGTCCTTTTTTAGTTCCCTTCATCAAAGGAAAGTTTTCTCAATACCGAAGGCAAATTGTAGGAGTGGGAAAAATTACTACCAAGAATCTGAGCAATATGGATTTTAACACTGTGATCTTGTTTCAGTGAGAGGTAAACACCAGTCACTGGCTGTCAAAAAATTCTGAGTTGAGCCTTGATTTCATGGGCAGCAGCTTTAAAATCTATTTAATACTTCTTATTTCTTCAGTTAATCTGTTTCTTTCTCCAGTTAATAATAGGCTGTGGGATTAAACCTCAGCTTTTGATATTTACTGGGAAATGTAGTATAGCGATTTATGAGTCAAGATGTACTTTGAATAAATTATCATTGCAAATTACAGTTTATGAAAGTTGTGACTATAACCATAATTACACCATTGGCTATGCACAAATTGAAATCTCGCTTGCTGGATAAATTTGTTTTCATTCAGATTGCATTCCCGACATTTTTAGAAAAGAGTGAATCAAGCCTCACCGACAAAATTTCCTACAGCATTTATTAAAAAGGTCAGCTTTGTTTGCTAGCGTTACCTAAAATATAAACATTTCTCGAATTAATGAGATGTTATTTTAGTCTGTTATGAGAGTTTCCTAAACCCTAGACTCATAAGGAGACTCACAAGAGCTTCCACATTACACCATGCCTTTAGCTATCTATATATCCTAAAATTGTTAAAGTTAAAATTGATTCTGCAAGCTGTTAGGAAAAGAAACAGCCGATAGCCAAAATTAGGTATATTACTGTAAGCTGGGGGGGGCGAGAGGTTTAAAGCTCTGTCTGGCAAGAGAAGGGTTAAGGACTTTTTTGCTATACCCGTTTCAAATTACAATGAGAAGCCTCTTCTTTCCCAGCAGGGTTGTGCTTACATTAGTCTTTAGATCTCTCTTGAAGAGAGCTGTTATATTTGTGCCTGCTAGAGTTGGAAATAACAGTTCAGAAGCTGAAAAGGCTTGAATGGATTTACAGAAGGTTTTTTTTTGCGAGTAAATTCATGGCAACACATTAATTTGATTAGTACATGCTTTAGAATTACTTTACACTCAAGCGATTCAAAAGATGTTAAAGTTATCACCAGGCTGCTGGACAAATATGTGTTACACCACCAAGGTACAGATCAAGACAAATCTGTGACTCAGGATTTTATCTTGGGAAGAGCGCAAGGTGTACGAAGAACTCAGAATAACGAGGGAAGATAACTCTGGGAACTACAGTGTGTCAGAAGAACAGCTCTTGCTAATACAGCTCCCCACCAAAGACCTGGTTATCTAAGGTTTATATAGGAATGCCTAGGTCAGCTGACAAAATACTGGTCTTCTGCTACATAAATGCAGAAAAAACGATAACAACTGTGGAAAATTGGAAGTCTGAATTTCAACTTTCTTAGAAATAACTGCAACCTGACACATTCTGTAGTATTTAAACAGGGTGGGGGGAGAGAAATCACCAAAGATGTTACGTTTAGAGATGACATTGACATGAAGAATAGGTAAATTTTCTTTTTCAGCCACTGGGAAAGCAGACCTCATAGGAACTCAGAACAAGTAGGAGAAAAGATTTTTTTTTTTTTTCCTTGTTCTTTTTCTTTTCAAAAATGAACCTAACTGCGCTCAAAGCTTTTGTGGGCTTGCTCTGGAATTGCTGGGTTCTGGTGGGTCACGCACAGGGAGGTTTAGGAGACAATCATGTCCATTCGAGTTTTATTTACAGGAGGCTGCGGAACCATGAGAGAAGGGAGATTCAGAGAGAAATTCTCTCTATCCTGGGTTTACCTCACAGACCCAGACCATTTTCACCAGGAAAGCAGGCTGCTTCTGCACCCCTCTTCATGCTGGACCTGTATAATGCCATGACAAATGAAGAGGATACTGAGGAGCTGGAGTATTCACCAAAGGGATCAATGGCAGGGGAGAGCAGAGGGATACGGAAAGGATACCCTGCCTCTCCAAATGGATATTCGCGGAGAATACAATTATCTCGCATGACCCCCCTGACCACACAGAATCCTCCCTTAGCCAGCCTGCACGACACCAACTTTCTGAATGATGCTGACATGGTCATGAGCTTTGTCAATTTAGGTACGTGGAAAAATTTTTTGTTTCTGCTCTCTTTGACAAACTGTTAGCCTGATCTTGCAAGGGGCAAACCTCTCGGCCAGACTGTAACCTGTTCTGAAATGGCAGGATTGGGCCCGGGCTGCTGTGCCACCAGTAAAAGAAAAGTCATACTGATGGTAAAGTAGCTACGTTGTAGGTGGCCATGGAAAAAGATTTTTCTCACTGTTTATATAAAGTCAGTTTCTATAACTCCCCTCTGCTGGCTTCTGTTTTCTTTCTTTCATTGATGTAATGAAAGTTCTAGCCTTAGGCCAACTAACTCCTTTTTTTTTTTAAATCTCAAAAAATCAAATACTTATGCCTATTGCTCAGTTTTTTCTCTCACTGTTTTGCTTAAAGCCCAGACATGAACAAACACCAGTTGTTAATATTTTAAAGCCTAGAATGTTATGCAAAGGGAAAAGTTAAGCCATTAAAAAAAAAAAAAGAAAATATATTTCTTTGGTTATTTAAGGTTTTTTTCTGTTGGTAAGAGTCAGAGTTTTATTATCTTTTCAGCTGGGTGGCTGGATTTTAAATAATCTGTGGCTGTTTCTTTGTTATTTCTATTTAATAACCACAGACTGCGTTTTGTTATACTGCCATGGTGCTCAGAGTCTGCAATGTTTCTTATTTTCTGTGTCATAAATAAATTAAATAACAAATAGAGTATTAAACACCAGAAACATGCAAGTGAAGAATGCTTTTGAAAATTATATCAACTCAGACACAGGACCTGATAAAACTAAATTATATTGGCTTCTGAGTATAATAAACATGCTTACCAGTTATGTTGTGGTTAAAAAAGCAGCTACAGATTTCTTTAATAGAAGGCAACTTAAATCTCATTAAGATAGCTGCAAATAATTAATGAAAAGTATTTACTATTTTTATAAGTTTCTTAAATGCGGCAGGACTCATAAAGTTAGCCAAAAAAACCCACTCTTCCCGTTTGATCTCAATAGCAAGAGATTTAATTGAAAACTTGAAGTTTCTCAATAAACTGGTACAAAAATCTGATGAACTCTTGCTTTCCAGGATAATATTTTTTGTAGAAACTTTTTAAACAACGGCACATGTTCCCAAATACCTTCAGATTATCACACACATTCTGTACATTTTATGTCTACCAGGTCTTTAGTTGTTGCTGCAGGATTAAAAATGTTTCCAAACATTAAAATCCTCAACAACTCAAATTTCTAGGAAAATGACACCCTAGAGTTTAGTTGTTCTAATTATGAAATTATTTTTTGTTAATTATTTGGCAGATAAGGAGGTGTTCAATTCTGACATCTTTTTTCCTTAAGAGTAACATATGTCCACAACTCTAAGTATATTTGCTGGTTGCTCTTGCTCTTGAAATAGCAGACTAGAAAAAAAATGTAATCTCTGTTTTTTGAAAACATGTACCTCATCCTTATGAAAGAGTTACATATTATCCATGTATTATTTTTAAGTTCTCACTGTATGCCTCGATTTACCCAGAGTGTCTGGAGTCAGCTGAATTTAAAATGACAATGTTATAAAGGGAATTAGGAAATTCTCTGAGCTCCTAAACATTAGTCAAGGCCCTGATCCTGCAATAATTTTCCTCATGTGTCCTGAGAAATGCCCTCAGTAAATATGTCGCAGACCATTTCATCAGTGGCCCTGAGGACTATTTACATGCGACCTAGCCTTTGATTTCACGAAATGTCTTTGGTTTCAAGAGGACTTCTTGCAGTGCATGAGTAGAAGTCTTTGAAGGTTCAGTGTCAGATATGTCCTAGCCTGATCCTGCTGCGCTTCCCCAGACAAAAACCCTCTCTGGAAGAACACAAGTTTCCACTGAGTGTCTTACCTTGACTGTGAATTTTCTAAAATTTGTCTCACTTTTTTCGGAAGGTGTTGTCTTAAGAATATCATTTTGAGAAGCTAAAGTGTATCTTACATTTCTAAACTGTGAAAACTGGGAGCGAAATGCTTTGTTTTTCTAGTGATTATGATTAATAGACACCATTAACTTATAAAAAAATACTGTGTAAATACCAGGTTTTGTTTGGCTTCTGTAAAATTAAAATGTGCCTCTGCTCTAAGTGAGTCTAAATCCTAGTCCACTTTAAATGCCCTTCCATACATGTTGGATATTGTGGTTTATCACACATTCCACCATGTAACACGGTAAGAAATATTGATGACCAATATAGATTAACTTCAACATTTTTATTAAACAATCCTATGTTTCAGTATAATTAACATAAAAATGAAATAAATCATGAAAGCAGGTAACCATTTTATAAGATTTATGCAGTATAATATTGTGACAGATGAGGGCAAGCTCTTTTAATGTACAATAGGGAAAAATATGCCGTGATAAGTGAATGCTAACACTGTACCTTAAAATCAATAAATGCTGATGCAGCACAGTAATAACTCAACTGGTTTTAGATTTGAAGCCTCAGTCAACTTGCATCAAATTAATCTACCCTGGAAGTAGTATTCACCATGTTCATACTTGCACACCATTAATTACATAAGGTGTAATTATAAAGCTTTATTAATCATCATTATATCTTAAGTTGAAACTTTTGTATATAGTTGTAGCCAGTTAAATAATTTAAGACATATATTAAAACAAGAAATATGTAACTGAGATGTTGGACAGAAAATATTAAGCTTAAGGTTGAAAAGGCTGAGTAAGATTAAAAAGTAAAGTAAATAAATAGACAAAGACAACAAACTTTATATTAAAGTATAAAAACTGAAACTTATATGCTAATTTTGATTAAAGTCAACCTGTCAGTGTTGCAAATACATCACTTTCAAAAACAAATTTAAAAAATAATCATCAAGGGAACTGCAATTATAATTCTGTCAAGAAACCAGGGAGAAAAACAAGACTGCATTTACTTTTCCTGATTGTAAACACCTGCTCTTTATAGTGGAATTTATACCAGAATTTCCATCTCTTTCTTTCTTGAAAGATATGACAAGACAGAGACTATGTCTTGTCCTGTATTTTGTATAAGACTGTGTGCGTTGGCAGCTCTCCATAAATACTGATGAGTGTAACAGAAGAGTTAACTGGGGTTGGTCCAGCAGTCAAAGAATAAATCCTCCACTAAATACACAGGGGTTTTCAAAGATCTGATTATATCACCTACAAGTTCAGGACTTTGTTTTCCTCACTGGGTGTTTTTGTAATCCATTGTTTTGGTTTTGTTTTGTTGGGTTTTTTTTGGTGTGGGTTTTTTTTTTTTTTTTTTTTTTGTTAATTATATTATATTGTTGCAAAGCCCTGACTGTTCAGAGTTCTGGCATCTTCTTTTTGGCCAGTCTCCCAAAATGACATATATAGGATACTCTGTTCCTCAGAGAACAGGCAAATGATATTCATGTAGTCCTACTCACTTTTCTGCTCACTCAAAATCTAGTTAGTGAAGGAGTTTGTTAAGATAAATGTTAGTGTTCCCACTCTTCACCTCTCACCAAAAGAGGGAGATTGAATAAAAATGTGTACATGACTCAGGCTTGGAGCAACAGCAGCACTTTTATAAACTACATTTAAACATTTCAAGGACTGAATTTTCCATTAACATCAAAGTGATCATTAAATCCACTGTACTTAAGTGTTCCTTCTCATGTAATTCAAATGGTCGTTATTTTCATTTGTTTACAACACATCTATAAATTTTTCTCTAAACAGATTGCTGCATTTGCTAAGCAACTGTTTTCTTTCTCCTTATTTTCCTATGAATTGATATGAACTTTTTATAAGATAGGGGATAAATATATACTAGTTTTGTGGTTCTCTGTTATGTTTTCTTTCTTAGCATATAAAATTAATTTCAAAAACTCAAATGTGAAGATCACTATAAAATTTGTGACCCTGACCTACACATTTTAATTTAAAGCATACAATATTATGAAGACTTTTAAAGTAACCCATACACCCTGGAAAGATAAATTTTATTCTTTGCACACAATGTGATAATCTTCAAATCATACGTGCTGTGATCAGTTCTTAAATCAGATGCTGAAATCAAGGGAAATTTTGCCTGTTTGAGGCACAGATGATTGTTCATATTTCTCCAGCTTCCCTACCCCAAGTTTGTACACTTCAAGATTATGTTCTTCTTTTTAATCCTGAATCACTAAGCAAATACACAAATTCACAAGATTTACAGCCCATGGTGTTCATCAGAGAATGCAAATAGAGCAGAAAACAACTTTTGTACAGCTACTTTGAGAATCCTACACTACATCAACCTACACTGAATACTTGTACAAATATATTTTCATTATATATGAAACAGAATATTACTAACTGCAATCAGACCTTGAGCATATATAAGTAGCTAGTCTCTTAAATTAAACTAATTCAGTTTCTACAGCCTTCCACTCACAGCTAACATATCATCAGCATAGGACATGGAGTGCTAAGCTATAAAATGCCAGGAGCTGTGGAAGGGGAGCTGGGTTTGAAGGATACATGCACAAAGGCCTCAGGAGCATTAACTTCTCTCCTCAAAGCTTAGGAATGAGCACACTTCCTTTCTTTCTTTCTTTCTTTCTTTCTTTCTTTCTTTTCCCCTGGATTTTAACTGCTGTCTTAATTTTAACCGTACGTGAATTTCCTTGGCTGTGGTACAGGTTTAATCCGTAAAATGCAGGCTTCTAATGAAAATATTGGCACAACCTTAACTGAAGTGACGGAAACAGTGCTATTATCTTGCCTTGAACAAAGGGATGCTATTACAGAGATAAAACTTGTTAAATAACAAATAGACCCCATGTCTTAAACTGTGGAATTGGATCAATGCTAAGAAAAAACGAGAAAACATTTGTGCAACTTTCTGAATGGCAACCCTATGTCAATAAGATGGCATCTTTCACTCTTTTACATAAAATTGAAAGCAAATTAGATCAAGCGGGTGTCTTTTAATCTTCACCCAAAGTAGAAGTCTCTTGGCATCTTGATATCCTAAGATTTTTTCCCTTAA